TAACTTTCTGTAACTTGCCTAATGTAAAATGTAGTACTTAGTTACGTAGTTTTTAATAGCATTCAGTTATAGCATTACAGCAAAAACTAAAAATGTTAAAGCTTTGCTTTTTGCTTTGCAAAAATTGGTAAATACGCAAAAACTGCGCAGACGACTCCATGAAGAACAAGATCCTTCTTGCAAAGTTTTAGAGCTATACGTATCAGGAACAACGCGTAACTTGGACGAAACAAACTCCATACAACACTTGGTTTTCCTAATCACGTAATTTTTTGACTTTTACAGCAAGCGCCATTAGCCTACAATTTTTTATTGACTTGCTGGCTGGACCAAATTCTACAACTTCTAGTATCATAAGTCGATAAGGTGATGTCTGGGCTCGCTTCGTTTATAACTTCGCTTTATTACTTTGAAATCGACGAGACATCAGTGTTATGCTTGCGTTCCTGTCGTTTTGGCTGCAAAGTGCAAGCTTTTTGTTGCCCTGTTACCAAAAACTTGATCAGAATGAACGTATTAAAAAATCATAACGCTTACTTGACACGATAAAAAGGCACGCACGAAGAAAATTAGCCTCAAAAGCTTACCAATGTCGCGAAACCAACGTAGCTATTAAGTTCATCTTCATCATCGTAAATTTAAAATAAAGCACTTCTCCTTTGACCTTTTTTGCTAGGACTATTTTTTGTAGGCTTATTTGCCCTTCTATCTCACGAGGTCTTATATCAGTCATGTCATTATGCTTATATCTTTACCACGCTTGCCTTACGCTTGCTTACGTGATATTATGGTACGGTCTAATTGCGTGAGTTTGAGGTATATAAAACTTGAACATTATCATTATGCATTCGCCTGGCCTAGTCTTAAGTGGTGCAGAGGACTAGAATGCTAACATAGTAGCGTTTTCGTATTCCAAACAACCTGTTTAAACGGGTGTGATACAAGACTTGAGAGCGAGAGAGAATAAACGGCACAACCCTATGAAGTTTTTAGGTTTATGAAGTTGAGGTACACTTGCGAAATTTCATTTCATGGTCAATTAATTAGAGAACATTCTAGAACAGTTAGAAACCAGAGGCAGCAGATAGATGCAGAAATTTGTTAATTTGTCATTCAAAAAATGCTGACGTTTTAGGCTAAAGATTAAGGATACATAACTTTATTTTTAGACTGTTTTTGTATGCCTGGTATGCTTCAGGTCAACAAAGGTCAAAAAGTTTAAAAAATTAAGTGTAATTGTTCTGTGCACAAATGCACAAAAGCCTTGCACACTGATAAAAGTGGAAATACTTTTCAACCAGATGATGATTATATGTCTATAAACTATTCCACCTAATTTATCAGAAACAAAAACTTAATGGTCATCGATTGTTTAAAAATCAAATTATTATTATTTCTCAAATTCATAGTTGAAAAACATTTTTTAAGCAAAATTTGTTTACTAAACATTCATAAAACTACTTTAGAAAAGCTGCACTTAACACCTGAAGGCAGAAGAAAACAAAAGAAACGATAAAGCACTGTCTTCTGAAAACTTTTAAGTCATTCTGTAATCAACATAGATCGAAATCATCATTTCCGATATCTTAAAACGGTTTCTGGAAGCTTGTTATAAGAAACTTTATAAACCCGAAAAAGACAATTAGGTAAACGAGCCCTTCAGGAAAAAACTTAAAAGTAATTTACTCCATTCAAACTGTTCAGCGTTTTCAACTCGTTTTGCCTGCCTACCAAGTAAGCCTGTAGTTCAAATGCTTGCTGCACTCTAGGTTCAGATTTCTGAAATGCACACCAAACGACGATTGTAAGCCTTAAATCTTAGCTTTAGATTACAGAAAAGAAAAGTTGAAAAAGCTTGACAACCGTAACGGATGCCGAGCCAAGTGAACCGCAATCGCTGCAAAAAGCTTCAGCGTGCATTTTACAGAGTCATCTGATTCCCCCTTTTCTACGGAAACACAAAAAACCCAGCAGCAATAAGCGCAATTACGTTTCGCTGCCTTACTTCACAGACTCCGCTCATCAGTTTCTTAATTCGTCTTCTATAAACGTAATATCATTTGAGGTGCTGGAATCCCACATGATTTGCAGGTGAACTACCACTGTCAAATGTATATGAAACTTTAAAATTCGCTAAAATATAAACGTGGACTACCTCAAATATCACAATTTAGAAACAAAGTTTACCGGCAAAAGACAAGCTTTGCACGCCTGCCACTATCCCCTTCTTCTCTTCGATCATTTTTTTGACGTCAGCGACAGTGTCCGATGACTCAACTTCCAAAGTAATTGCTTCTTTGCCTACACTTCGTATTGATATTTTCATAACATGCCTTTCTCGAAGAAGAAGAACCGATTGATGTTGAACTTTATAGTACGAAAGCTTTTTTTCGTCATCGAGTGGCTTATCTGTAGTTCCAGGAAGATAAAATAAACGTTATTTCGCGAGTGCAGTACCCAACATACATTACTTGCCACCTACCGCAAAAAAATAAACGGTGTTGCTTGGCTAATATCCTTTCCTTTTCCTCAATTAGTTTTTTGACTCTCCAGGCAGTGTCAGATAGCTCGACCTCCAAAAATACTGCTTTCCCGTTCGGGAGAGTTACCGATATATTTTTCGATTTGATTGGCTTGATTCCAAGGCGCAAAACTGAGCCATTTACGACTTTATGATCAACAAGCTTCTGCCGGTCATCAAGGATATGAGCTACAATCGTACATTTGAAAGATACGGAAAAAAAATTAGATATGCTTTGAAAAGAAAAGCAATGTTACCCTTAAAATACAACATTTGGCGATCAGCTCTTATTCCTTCTTGTTTTTCCAGTTTTCTCTTAATTCCTTCCACCGTTTCTGAAGGACTCACTGTTAAAATTACCATCTTTCCATCCAGAGTCTTCACAATTATCTGTATATCCGCTGTGTCTACTGTTGTGCGAATTATAAGATGAAAAACTGAATTTTTCACAACGCTGTAGTCTTTGACCGTGTGGTAATCTTCAAGTTCCTTGCCTGTAATCTGAGGAGTGTAATAAATTTTTTACATTAATGGTGTTAATTAAATTATAAAATTATTACCAGAAAAAACTAAATGCTGCTCTTCAACCGGTATCCCTTGTCTTTTTTGAATTTCTCGTTTGACCTCTTCGATTGTGTCATTTGGTCGCACTTCCAATCGAAACGATCCCTCTGGCTGCTCTTCTACTATTATCTGCGTGTAAATATATTTACTTGAGACAGTTTGCAAGCAGTATAAAGTGTGAGATAGATGTTCAATATTCTTTGCCTCTTAGAAGAACCCTCCGAACAACAGTGTCAAAAAATAGTGCTCTTGTAGGCTAACTTCGATAGTAACAGAGTTTGTTTTCATCAAGCCGTTCTAGGTTTGCGACACAACGACCAGAAATCAAAGAACTGCGGTCACAAAACCTCATTACCTAATTCCTCATTCCTTTGAATTCAATTCATTAAAGTCCTAACGCTTTTTAGACAAGAAGTTACTTAGTTTGTAGAGCAGGGCAACTGTAGTGAAATTTATATCATGTACATAAAGCCAATATGACCAAAAAACATGGAAATTCATCTACAGCTATTTTTCCGCAACTTGAATTCCTTAAACATCTTTTGTCAGCCCAACTACTGTCGGTCTGCTTTAAATGATCAAGAAACTGAACAAAAATTGTCAAAAAAAACTTTTCAATTTTGGAAGACTTACCGGTATTGTTCCATGCATCCTGGATTTAAAACTCAAATTTGAGCCACTATTGATATTATCACCAGCAAGCGTTCGCCAATTCTCAGAACCAAAATCTTTTGTTGACTAAATGAGAAAACACAAACGGATAATACATCAGTTGAAAAGTACCAATAACCTTGAAAATGCGAGAGCTGATGATCATTTTCTACTCCCTCATTTCTCTTTAATTTTGCCTTTACATTTTCAACCAATCTCAAGCGACTCATTTTTTAATTATCTACCTTTCCAGCTAAAGAGCCCGCATTTATTGGCGTAGTTTTACCCCTTTGAACTATAAGATAAAGGGCTGAATTCTCCCTGATTTTACATTCAGAAAGCCTGCGATTATCTTCCAGTTTCTCACCTGTAATTTAAAAAAGAAAGCAAAATTAATGTAGTAGCGTAAAATTAATATGAAGTTCTTACTATCCAAAAGTAACTGCTGTTTTTCAATCGGTATTCCCGTCTTATTATTAATTTTTTGTTTGAGATCTCTGACGCTGTCTGAGAGCTGCACTGCCAGTGAAAGTGCTCCACCTGTCGATCTCACAGTTATCTGTAATACTTCGTTTATTTCGAAGTTAAAACCAAAGTGATTGAAGAAGTGAAATAGATGCTCAACGTTTGTCATTTGCGAGGAGTTGCTTCTTATTAGTTTCTTCTATCAATAACTTCAAAAAATATTTGTATCTATGAGCCTATCATTAAAAGTGCAGCAAAAAATCTTATTTTTATCCAACCATTTGAAGCTTGTATATCATTATTTCTTTCCTTGTCTTCAATTCATCGAAGTCACGCTTTTTTATTAGAATGTTACTTAGTTTGTTAAGTAAGACACTTGCGGTAGAATTTTGTGTTATTTATATATAATCAACATGAGCAAACGATTCAGAAATTTTGTATAGCGTCATTTTTTTGTGCCTTTGATTTCCTTAACTGTCTGTTGTTGATTAAATTGTAGTCAGTTAGATTTAAATGATTAAAAAACTGGAAAAAACTGTTGAGGAGCTTCTTTTGCTTTAAAAAGTTACCGGTACGGACTCGTATGCCTCAGCTGAAAAGCGTGGGACTTGACTGTTCTTGAAGCTATCGTCAGCAGGCGTTCGAAAATTTTTGTGAACAAAATCTGCAGTTGACTATGTAAAAAAGTGAAAAAAAAAAAGGGAGATACACACAAAAGTAAAAAAGTACAGTTACCATGCTGGTCAAATTTCATTTTTGCATTTTCTGCTGTTTTGAAGAGATGCAATGTTGAATTAGCCATCTTTTCCATCTGAGGATTAAAATTTATCTGCTCAGTAGCACTTCTCCGAATTATAAGAAGAACAGTTGAATTCTTCTCAATGTCATAATCAAGAAGCACGCGACTATTATTCAGTTTCTTTTCTACAATTCAAAAAATAAGTGAATATTCCTGCAGTTATAACGTAAAAATTGACTGTAAAATTGCTACCAGCAAAGAGTAGTTGCTGGTCATCAATTGGTATTCGCGTCTTTTCTTTAATTTGCTGTTTAACATCTCTGACGGTGTCTGAGGTCCGCACTACGAGTGAAAATGCTTCAGCTATCGACCTCACAGTTATCTGTATTACTTCGTTTATTTCAAGGATAATTTAGAATTAATTGAAGAAGTGAAATAGGTATTTGATGTTTGTCGTCTGTGAGAAACTGCTTCTTACTATTTCTTCTACCAATGACTCCAAAAAATAACTATCTTTGTAGGCCGATCATGAAAAGTACAGTAAAAAACCTTATTTAAGGCAACCATTTGAAGCTTGCGAAATCATTACTGAAAACGCAACAAATATTGTTATTAAAACTCTTCTATTATTATCTCTTTCCTTGGCATTAACTCATCAAGGTTCTCACACTTTTTCAATAGAATGTCACATAGTTTATTGAGTAGGATACTTGCAGTGGAATTTTATATTACTTACATATAACCAACATGGACAAACAATGCAAAATTTTTAGTTAGCATTTTTTTTGTGCCTTTGATTTCCTTAACTGTCTGCTGTTGACTAAACTATGGTCAATCAAACTTAAACAATTAAGAAACTGGAAAAAATTGTTGAGAAGCTTCTTTTGCTTGAAAAAATTACCGGTATGGGCTTGTATGCCTCAGCTGAAAAGCGTGGGACTTGACTGTTCTTG